AGTGAAATCCTCGTATTGTTCCATCAGCAGTGTCCCCCTGGCCAAGCAGCCACCAAAGAGCTGTGACAAAGATCGGGGTGTCGGAAAACTCAGACCTGCACAGAAATAAACAAAAGCAGCTTTAAACACTCCTATCCTTGAAATGCTCACCGAGGTGAAGGTTTTTTTCTCTTTCTCCTTGTTTTTTTTTTGTGTTTGTTTTTTTTTTTGGTCTTATTATTTTTAGTCAAACTGAGAGCTTCAAAATTAACTCCTCGCCCTCTGCGAGCTGCTGGTGTCTGTCATCTGCCGCAGGATCTGCAGCGCCACGTCACGAGCGGGGCCCCCCAAATAAACTTCCGCTCTCACTCGAGGCACCATCTGTGTCCCATTTCTGCAGAGCCTGGCAGAGACAATCCCTTGCCTTCTATGGAATGTTCCTTCCCCTCGCTGAGCTCCAGACTCCTTCGGAGGTGGGGAAGGAGTGGTGGGTGGGAGCGGTGCCGGCTCGGCACCGAGCTGTGACGGAGCCCTGGGGTTGTCAGGGTGCTTTTGGTGTTCATCCAAGGTCAGGTGGCCCCAAGGGTGATGCCTCAAACTCTGCATCCTCTGGAATTTTAGCTTAGCTCTTTTAGCACCTTTGTGCGAGGTGCCTGGAAATGTTTTAACGTCCCTTGCCGAGAATTCCGAGGTTTTAGCGAGGTGGAAAACGGCTCATCTGCAGAAAATGTACCCAGAATAAGACATAACAGGATCACACCCTTTGATGTAGCCAAGTCAAAACTGCTCAGGAGCCCTGAAGCTGTTGCAAGAAGGACAGAGAGGAGGAGGAGGAGGAGGAGGAGGAGGATGGGGATGAAGGGGTGGTTGTTTTGCCACCACAGACTCAAATCTGGGAGGTGAGTTTGAGAGTGGGACAGTAAGATAGACAGTTTTGGGGCTGGGTGTAACCCCTGAGGTGATGTCCAGGTATTATAATGAGATAATATTATAAAAACTATAAAGCTCTATAGTGGGGGTGTGTGCAACAGATTTTGTGCACCAAAGGCACAATGAAAGAGCTGCTTTTTACCTTTCTGTACCCAAAATTGCCCAGAGAATTATTTCTCTGATTTTAGGCAACAGGGGCAACCCACAGAGGAGGCAGAGCCAATGCCAGGCCGTGTCTGGCTGTGAGAAAGAGAAGAGGCTTCGCTGTGGTTTGTTAGTGAGGGCAAGAATGGTGAGGGGTGGAAAAGCCAAGCTGGGGATGTCATGGGGAGAAGGGTTCAAGTCACTGGGACACCCCTTTGTTCTGGGGCACAGAATCACAACCAATAAGGTTGGGAAAGACCCCTGAGATCATGGAATCCAACCCCACCTCGGCACCCAGCCCATGGCACCGAGTGCCACGTCCAGGCTCTGCTTCAGCACCCCCAGGGATGAGGACTCCACCCCCTCCCTGGGCAGCCCATTCCAGTGCCTAATACCCATTTCTGTGCAGAAATTCCTCCTGATGTCCAACCTAAACCTCTCCTGAAGCACCTTGAGACTGTGCCCTCTCATGCTGTTACTTGTTGAATCCCACCTGGCTCCAATCTCCTGTCAGGGAGTTGTGGAGAGTGAGAAGGTTCCCCCTGAGCCTCTTCTTGTCCAGATTGAGCCCCTCCATCTCCCTCAGCCTCTCCTCACAGGGTTTGTGCTCCACACCTCCCCAGCTCTGTTGCCTTTCCCTAGTCCTTTTACCAGCCTGAAGTTCCCAGTCTTGCCTTCCTACTGTGCAAACAAATAAAGCTTCATTGCCCAATTCAGACAATGAAACCCACAAGAAATCATGAAGAGCCTTAGTTTAGGCTCTGCACCAAAGCAGCTGAATGAGCTGTGTGAACTGTAACCCTGGGCCTCAGTTTCCCTTTGCTGTAGCACTGACCCTTCCCTTCCTTTCCCTTCCCTTCCCTTCCCTTCCCTTCCCTTCCCTTCCCTTCCCTTCC